CTGAAAGAACAGAGACTTTTTTTGCTCCTTTTTTCGCTCCTTTTTTCAATTTGTAGTATCTTTGCTCTGAAATACTCTGAAACCCAATGGAGGGAACTTGTGTATCTGAACTTTGTTCAGAAACAACAGTTCAGGAAAGTCAGCTTAAATATTCTGAGATTTTTACCATCAGGAAATCTTTGCTCAGCTGGGTTCATCGTGTGTCACAAGGTGTAAATTTATCTCTTGCAGTTTTTTGGTTGTATTTGTCACTCCACAGTGTCCCATAGCAGAAAAGCTCTTTCTACATCATGGTTTAGACTGGTATGCAAAGGTCCCTGATGCTTTTGTCAGAGCTGGAGCAGACCTTGGGATGAGAGTGACACCAGGTACCACTAATTCAGTTTGGATGGTCTTTATGTTCACTTTAACTGAATTAACTTCTGTTTTCATCCCCTTCCTCTATAACTATTATATTACATGCATTAAATACTGCTGAGGGACCAAGCTCCTAAGCACAATCGCTGTCTCTGAAAGTTCTCAGTTAAATTAGATAAGACAAGCAGGGAGCGAAAACCAGGCAGGATGGTTATCCTCATTTTCCAAGTAGAAAATGGCAGTGCAGAAGGATAATGTGTAAATACACATTACAAGGTGTCCCGCATGGACTGAGAGGCAGAGCAGAGAATTGCAATCAAGACCTTCCCAGCTTCAAAGTGGTGATGAGTCGGAAACTCACAATTCATCACGTAACTTTCCAGCTGACTCTGAAGAAACCACTGTGTTCCAGGGGATGAAAACTGCCAGATACCATCTGCCTGAGCAGTCGTGCAGTTATCTGGCCGGAAGCTTTTCTCTGTGACTAGACTTTAGAAAATCACTCTGAGGTCTGGCTTACTCCACTAAACTGCTTTAAAAATCAGACAAATGGTTCCAGCACATCTCCTAATTCACAAGCAGAGTCCAGAGATTTTTTCTGTACAAGCTATTGCACTGACCTGTGATGAAGACTGTGCTTTATAGTTTTGCAACATACTCGGCCCTCTTTGTAAGAGTATAGCCAGAAGACTGAGGAAAGTGATTATTCCCATCTACTTGGTGCTCATGAGGCCCCATCTAGGACACTGTGCCCGTTTGGGGGCTCCCTGTGGCCCCAGGACAATGAGGACATCAAACTGGAGCAAGTCCAGCAGAGGGTCACTAAGATTGTCGGGAGGCTGGAACATGCGACATATAAGCATAGCTGGGAGCTGGGTTCAGCCAGCCTGGAGAAAAGGAGGTGGAGGAGGATCTAGTTACAGTCTTCCAGTCCTAAAGGGGAGTTACTGAGAAGACAGAGCCAGACTCTGGCCAGAGGTGCACAGTGAGAGGACAGTAGCAATAGGCACAAGTAACAGTGAGGAAAGCATGGCAGCTTTCCCATGAAAGCATGGCAGCCCCCCTGAGACTGGTGCTCTGAGAGCCTGTGGGATCTCCATCCTCAGGGACATTCAGATGTCAACTGGACATGGCCCTAAACAAAGTGATTTGACCTTGAAGTTACCCTGCATGGAACAGCCTGTTGGACTGGAAGCATACAGAGATCATTTCTAAATCTTTCTGTGATTCTATTATCGTGTACTTCCCTGATGTCTCTGATAATAAGAGAGTGACTGAGAAGATGCAATAGTGGAGGTTCCTGCCTGTGCAGAGACATTGCTCTGTCCCAGGTGCAGGAAGAGCATTGAAGTTGCTTTAGTTATTCATCCATCCTACCTGTCCCCTCCCCAAGACGCTGGTGTATGTGCCTTATCAAGTATTGCAATGGCGTGTGCTCCTGTTGGGTGCAGCTGTTGTGTTGTTGGGTGCAACCTCACACATGTCAGAGAACAGCACAGGGACTATATATTGCTGTTTCCAAAATAAAGCAGGGGTAAATCTGAGTGGTGCTTTTGAAAATGCATTTGCCTTTTGATTTCCCATACGCAGCACTATCTGTCACAAGCTCACACAGCGTTGTTTGGTAGTGTCTCAGGATTTAACAGCGTCTGTGGTGTCATTTTGAAAGTGGCCTTAAATGTGTCGCATCCAGATCAGATGAGCAGTGAGCCCGCCTCATCTGTTTGTTCCATTTTCTTGAGCTATACGAGGGCAGGTTCACCAAGGACACAGAAGTCTTGGCCATGGCTGATCACAAATGACTCATGCACAAAGGGCTGTAGCTGTTATCTTTTTTAACTTGCTCAATGTGGCCTGGAGAAGCAGGAGAGACATTGCAGAAGCCGTGCACTCTCAGATTGGCATGCAGGGCATGTGAGTGGGAGAGGAGCATCCCAGGGACCTCACTCCTACCCGGAGGGACCTGCAGCCAAGGAGCTTTTCCAGCATTCACGGTGAGCAGTTGCAAGGTCAGCCAGTGAACCTCTATCTAACTCGTTGATTGGGGCCACATCCCAGCTGTGTGATGGGACAGGTCTGGATGTGCATGATCCTGTCCTGGCATAGCCTAGACGACTGTGGGATCAGTTGCCAGGGCACACACAGTTCAGATGTGCCAGAGAGCCCACAGACTGTGTACCTATCTCGGACCAATCCCAACCTTTTCTCTGCTGCAGGGCAATCTGGAGCTTGGTCACATTTTCATTCCCAGGCCTTTTTCCACAGAGAGAGAAGTGTTTTTGTTCAGGATTGCAGGTGTCCTATGAAGTCTGTGCTGATGAGGGAACATCAAGCTCTGACAAGAGCTGACAAGAACTAGAAATGTTAGCAGTGTTTTATCTTAATGCTGGCATGAGAAACCCATCCCAGAAGTTTGTAAATATGGACTCTGAGGCTGTAGGATTGGGACAATGAGGAGAGAAGGAAGCTTTATAACCCTATAACCATAGGGAAGATCTGAGATGATGCAGAGAGTTTCAGACTGGTGAGTAAAAAGACTGTATTTCAAAAGACTTGGCTTGTCTGGAAGTAGATGGAGGGATTTGAGTTTGGGATGAGGGCGTGCTTGAGGAACAGAGAGGACTCCCTTGTGCGAGACTCCCTGGAAGACTTTGGCATAATTATCTGTTCTTTGCCCTCATTCAGTTTTAAGAAGGGCTGGGCAAATGCAGGGATCTCCATTACTTTACTGAGGCTGACACATATTTTACCTTGCTTCTTAACTGGGGAAACCAGGGTAGGTGAAAGAAAATGGTGCAGCAGCATGGTGGCAGATGTTGTTCTGCTCTGCGCCTCCCACATCTGGCCCCTAATCCCCCTGACACATATGCAGTACACATCCTCGAAGCTACACTGGTCTGGTTGACTGAATCCCGCAAATTGTAAATAAGTGAACAGACAAAGAGAGTGAATCAGGAAAATGTACTCTGGTGGTATATTTTGACAAGGGTTCTTCAACTGTAGTTCTTTACAGTGCAGTGCTGGACATGCTGCAGTCAAGCTGATCGAAGCAGCATGATCTGAGAAATGCCCTGCGGCGAGTCCTCAATTGGCACAGTATCTGCCACTGCTCATGGTGCCAAGGGAAACTGGACTGGGGGTGGGTGAGAGGTGCTTTACTTTGTGTGCCACTCCTCCAAGCTGTTTCTCAGAGCTGTCAAATGAGTTGTTCTTCCATGAAATATTGAAAGGGTTGGACCTGGTAAAAGCCCTTCTGAGTGCAAGCCTTTCTACATCTGTCTGTAACCAGGCCTGTCATGAGCATGATGGGGAAGCTTTCTCACTACCGCTCTCCACCCCTCTCCCACCCCCTGAGGATTCCCCTCTGCCCTGAAGCTGCCGCTGCAGTGAGTTGGTTCTGGCAGGCTTGCCAGGGCTAACTCCGTGCTGAAGTTTGCTCTCTCCGAGGTTGGATTGAAACAGGTTGAGGTCACCAAGGCTGGACTGACACCAGTTGAGATTTGAGGCGGCCTCCAGAGTGATATCGGTGCAGGCTGTGTTGGCAGTGCCATCCGCTGCCCGGGTATGGGGTAGGCAAGGATGCATGTTCATTTTACCAGTCTCAGTGAGGAGGAGGCAGCAAGGGCGTATTTGTGTGTCGGCCCCTCCCGCAAGGGTAGAGGGCGTGAGGCTAATGTCTGCGTTGCTGTGGCATCTTTGCTATGAATACCTGAGCTGACTGGATTAAAGCTAGTCCAGGGTGCTCATCCAGGTCCATCAGGTCCAGAGCAAGCAGAATCAGACCCTTTCAGGATTTCCCAGAGAGGTGGAAGCTCCATGCTGTGAGCTCCCTGCCCCATCTGCTTGTTGTCACAGGTCCCTGGAGGACAGCTTTCCCCAAGTGTAGCACCAGCTAAGACTGCAGTGTTCCTACCTGGCCATATATCAAGTCATGCAGGCATCCTAGGGCAGTGCAGGGGGTGGGCAGCTGGCAGGGTTATCTGAGGAGTTGCTGGAAGGTCCCATTGTGCTCAGAGGGACAAGTGGCAGCTATGGGGTGTCTTACTTCTGGGGGAGTCAGACAAGGCAGAGGACTCACCACTGTCAGCATGTCAGGTCAGGTTTATGTTGCCTGCTCAGGCTACTGAATGCGCTTCCCTTAATTAGCATGTGCAACTTGCAGACCCAGCACACCAAGGCGGAGAGGAGCTGCTTACTTCCTGTATCTGCCTGTGCCTTATAAAGCTTCTTTATGCAAATGCTGAAGTACAAAACCCCCTATTTCCCCATGGCAAGCAGGGAGGATTGCGTATTGCTGGACCAGTAGCTCTTTTCCAGAGGAGCAAGGCTGTGTTTGCTCCAACCCTGAGCTCATTCTGCCTGGGAAAGGAACGATCTCTTTCCAGTTTTCCTGCCAGAGATGCTGCCCTACATTGTTCCTAATTGCAAACTCTTGGTGAACAGTATAGATGTTTTGTCCTCCCCTAATGACTTTCTCCAAATAGCAGAAGCCAGGATCTGCTAACCTCTGGATGTCCTTGCCAGTGAATTCAGTAGCTCCATATAGCAGTAATACCCACCTGCCTGTCCGCAGCCACAAGATGCACGTCCTGTCTAGGTAAGCATCTGATTGAGACCTCTCTCTCTCTCTCTCTCTCTTACAGCTCCTTCTGCTGTGTCCATCATGCATCAGGTGAGCCGCACTGTGGACAGCATTACCCTCTCGTGGTCTCAGCCTGACCAACCCAACGGCGTCATCCTGGATTATGAGCTGCAATATTATGAGAAGGTACTATAGAAACTTAGCAGAATCCAGCTGTGGGGTCTGCAGGGGAGGAGGTGGTGCAAAGCTTTGCGTGAGGACATTGTTTTTCTTGTTGCAGTTGGCCCTGTTGGTGGCAGTGACTGTTGACCGTTCAGAGTCCAGCAATGGGTGTGATGGCCCTGGAGGCTGTTTAGGTATCACAAGCGTGTGTGAAAGAGAATGGAAATCTCTTGGTCTTCTAGAAGGACCTTCTCCTTCCTTCACTCGCTCAGTACTTGCAGCAGATGGACCAGTTGTGGGGAGAGCTAGGTAACTAGGGTCCAGATCCAGGGTATAAATTTTCCCTTCGCCTGCTGGGTCATTAGTGGGGAATGGGCATGGTAGGGATGCCGCAGAGCACATGTTGCGCCAAGATGAGCCACACTAGCTAAGTGGCTAGTCTTTGAGATTTGGTGTAACGCTATCAGTCAGTGCGTTTACGCTAAAGGTGAGTTTGGTACCTGTATGTGGTGGCCTGAACCTCTGTAGCTGTGCATTGTGCCAAGAAGAAGCTTGGCTGGACTCCCGTGGTGGGTGCACGTTGCACTAGGGGCTCTGATGAGGCCGTTGTGAGATGACAGAAGGGATCCCACAGCTGTGGCTCTTGAATCTCTCAGGAACATTCCCCTTCCACCTCCTACCTGCCCAAGCAGGCAGAGGGATCTGCAAGCCAGGGTTGTAGAAGGGCATTCATCTTACGGGATAGGAGGAACTCAAGGGGCTGAAACTGTATGGCTGCTGAGGGACCTGAAGACCATATTGATGTTGGTGTGCACTCCCAGAGCCTGCCAAGTTCTGAGTGGCTGAGAACTGCACCCCTGCTACCCAGGGGAGGTGGGGTGTGGGGAGCAGGAGATTTTTCTCCTTCCAGGAATCTGCCCCCCTGCACAAGAGCTTATAAACTATACATTAAAAATTGCAAACTAACTAATTAAAAATCTTTATGATTAAATGGAACTGAAAACATTTTCCCAGCAGTTGCCGGAAGAAATGATTAATCCCCCCCACTGCCTGCCTGTGACCTATTTTCTCATCACCAAGAGCCAGAGGGAGAACAGGGAGGGGGGAGTTTCTTTGTAAGCTGTTAAATAGGTCCTGACCTATATTGCATAAATCACAGCCATTTATTTGACCCTTGGAAATGATCCCAGAATACGTAGCAAGAGGGATGAGAAGGTAACAAGACAGATCTGGAAAACAAGAGGAGTTCTTTCCCCAGGGACAATCTAAGTAGAGACAGAAGATCTCAGGGAGGTCATTCTCCTCTTCTTACTTTCTCTTATTCTTTCCCTCTCTGTCTTCCCTCCCCCTTCCCTCTATTTTCTGGGGGAGGCTGTAAGGAAAGAGAACTTTTGTCTAAAAGGGAAGCTGCTGTTCATGGTCTGGCTTAGTGGCCAACCGCATGGTAAGCATCTATTGGCCGCCATTCTCAGAGCTTCCGGTACAGCATTTCACTGACTGCATGGATAAGTGGCCCCAGCAGCACTCAAGCAATGGCTTATGTGGGAGTAAGGCTGCAAGTGGAGCACAAGCTCTGCCAGAGAGGGCAATGCAGGCTTGGCCCCTCAGCATGCTGAGGAGAGGCAGTGCCACGTGCTCATGCTGAGACTCTTGCTGTCCTGGTATCTGAATGTCTTGGTCAATTTTTCGCTGGTGCTTTGGTGGAAGAAGAAAGGCCATCTTTATCTCCTGCAACCAGGACGAATGTCATTCTTGGAAGGGGATTGCTGGCTCAAAGCTTAGATGTATCCAGTCCAACAGCAAAAACATGTCAGAGGATTTAGAAGCATGTGAAAAAAATGGGATAAGCAAGAACTGGAGGTCAGTACCTGAGCAATGGCAATGAGTTTGTCTCTTTTCCAAAGCTCCTCTGCGTTTGTTAGCTTTTACTCTCATAACTCCAAAGTCCCAGTTGCACACACATAGTCCGATCTCTCAGCAATTGCCAAGTTCATGTCCTCTTAAAGTTCAGATGGTGAGTCAAGAGTGCTCTGGATGCAGGATACTTTCCCTTTGATCAGTTCTGAATTTGCTGTCTCTCTTCGTTTACTGTGCCAGCTTATCTATGTGTTGAGGGAACATCTGAATTACAACCACAACCTCTTTTCTAATGCCCAGACACTCGTTTTACAGTGTTGTTTGGAGAAGGCGTGACTTACTGTGGACCTGGCCAGCGCCTCCTGGTCGCTTAGACATTGGTACTCCCATCTTCTCTGCTGTCTCCTCCATCCTGTCCTTCAGGCACCCTGACTTCTGGTTTGTTCTTCTGAGTACGGCTTTCCATGGAGTTGTCCCTCCAGGCTTCTCCATTTATGCATTTTTAGCAACACAGTGATGTTATTTCCTTTTCTGTCTGGTTGGCAGAATTGAATCTCACATTAATCTAGCCATTGGAGTGCTGAGTTTTGAAAATTCAAAGCCATTGACTTGATCCCTGGAAACAATCCCAAAATGCATAGCTTTGGATCTGCTGTGGTCTTCCCCTGTTTCTCATCAATATTGCAATTGGAATCTCAGTCTGGATAGGGTGTGTGACACATCCCAGGTGTGTTCTCACTCCGTTGCCAGTCTGTACAGATGTGATTTTCTTCCAGAATGTTTTATTGCAAACTGTCCCATGTGCTTCTGAATGCTCAGAAAATATCTCTGGAGCTAGTTCAATTATTTCTAGTGGAAATCTTTTCCCCTTAGAAAATTATATTTTATTAGCATGAAAACAGTACAAATGTAAGTATAGTAGCGTATGCATCTGGGATAAAAAGTGTTTTGGCTCTTCATTTTGAATTGATCCTCTTCTGTATAGAGGCATAAAATAAACTTAAAAATTGGAATAAGTGTATTGATGTTAACAAAGGGAGCTGTTAATGTTACCTGAAAAAAGGTATATATTTTTTTCGATCCGGCATATTATTAACAACATTGCTATTATTAGATATTATTAAAAATGCCTGTACAGAGGCAACATTATGATTTTCTTTCCCTTGCACTTAGAGCAAGATTGTCATCCAAACACTGAACAACATCCCTTCTCTCTATGTTCCCCTCCCTAATGTATTTTTACCTCCAAGAGGCACCAACAGACCTGGCAATGTTTGTCTAACTTAAAAAAAAAAAAAAAAAGACTACTTGTCTTGTCTTCAGTTAGAAAGGATAGAGTAATTGAGTAATTTCTGTTCAAAGTTGCCAAACTCATCCCAGAATGTGGGACCTGGAGACTTTCAGTGTCACCAACGATATCTGAGAAAGTTACAGGAATGTGCAGGATGAAAAGGGTTTCCAATGGGAATGGTGAGGGGAGAGTGAGTCTCTTGAACGGGTCTAGATTTTGCAAAAGGTGCAGATGTGTCTAGTTTGGCTCAGCCTCACCAAGGGACACATCTGAGCACCCACCCAGACTGCAGAAGAGGCAAGCATTCCTATACAAAGGCCACTTTCTGAAACTATGCAAGATACATTCAGTCCATGGCAACAACTTATGTGAATGCCTAGCCCCCTTTGAAGAGCAGATCAGCAGGATTTCCTAGCAGGGTTTCCTAACTTCTCCCCCATCATGGTAGGGATTGACTGCACTGCTTGTGCAGTTTGAAACACTGCAAAGTTTAATTAGCACTTCTTGTTAGGTGAAACAATTGGGCTGGGCATATGCATTAAGTTGCCAATTTTGCAATTGTGTGAAGACATTCAGCTGGTCCCTCATGCCCTGTTTGGCTACCAGTGCAAACATGTTCAGAGTCGCAGGAGCCCTTTATTGTGTGGAAGCAATACCGGCTGACTGGGTATGGGGTGGCTGAAGGGTAAGGGAAAAGGGAACTGTGGTAGTTGACAGTGGTTAGTACAGGTAGGAGTAGAGTTAGGTGTAGCCTTCATGTTACCCATGGGTTCCCAGCATGTGCCCAGCATCCCCAGGCCTGGATGTTACCAGGGCTCGTGCCCAGGACGATTGGCAAGCACTCCTCCCAGACCGGCCCCAGAGCCACTGTGCACCTGTGGCTGACCTGACCCATGAGGACTTTCCTGGTCTCCAGCCTGCAGCGTCAGACACCAGTGGTGTGAGGTAACAGCCTACCTGAGCCTGGGGCTGAAGCTTTTGCCTGATGTTTCCCACATTCCCCTGGGATGGAGTGAGACCTGTGGTACCCCATCCCCCCATGCTGCCTAAGCCCTTGGAGAGGGCTCTATCTGGGGCCAGCAGCCCCAAAGAAAACAGTGAGATCTAGCGGATAAAGAGGAAATGTTGACTGGGAACTCTAGTAATCGCTTTCCTGTAATCCTCTCGTCTGTGCCTGGCCTGAGATCCACGTTGCTTCTATCTGGGGCTCAGGTTTCATGTGTGAGGCACCTGACACCTGATTAAATGTTACTGGAAAGCACCTTGACCCAGGCTGGCCTCTCTGCTTCCTGATGGCGAGATTAATGTGGCAATTGCAATGTTTTAATGTGGCCTTCCCTTGAGGTTTGTGTGATCAAGGAGATCATCCTGTTGAATATATCCATACAGCCTGCTGCTAGCTTCCAGTGATGCCTAGTCCTGCACTGAAACAAAGGAGATGTCCACAACCATGGAAGTCAAGATCATCTTGCATTTCAGCAGATACCTGGCTCGGAGGGGAATGGCTCTTGTGATTTGACGTCCCCAAAGGCTATTGCTAAACGATGTTCCCCGTGAAAGTCTAGGAGCTGTGGACCCCAGGATCCATCCCCAGAGTGGCCAGTGATACCCTGATACCAGAATTGAGCAGCTCTCCTAACACACCTGATCCCACAGGGCATGAAACTCAGATGTGTGTCGTGATTTGGCACCCAGCCTTGGACTAGCTTTGTACATGTGGCTCTATTTGCTCCAGGAACTACAGCAGATTGTTGTCGTGCAGACGTGCAGAAGAGCTGTCTGCCAAATTAAGTCGGTTGACATTTTTCTTTGGTTTTTTTTTGTGGCTGATAAAACATGACTTTTTGGAAATAGTTTTTGTGAGTCCTTCAGGCATTTCACAAAGACTATCCATTTTTCGAGAAACCCTTTTGTTGTTGATCAGACTTTAGTTTTAGCTCAGATTTGGCTCAGCGTAAGGGGAACCAGATGAGGACTCAGAATCAAACCTATCAGGAAATAAAAAGTACATTATTTTAAATTAGCATTTCCAAACTCAAAGCTAAAAAAGGGGGAAAAGAAAATCTCTGCAGAAGACAAGGCTAGGTGGATGGGAGAGGCAGCAAAGCCTAGCCACCTAGGATGCCCAGAGTCTATGGGAGAAGTTCAGAGGGGTAAAAGGGCAGAAGCATTTGAAGTTAAAGAACAGGTTGCCAGTGGGATGATGGCTGAGCCATATGTGAAGGGGAAAGAATAGGCTTGATAAGGTATTTACCAAGCCCTTCTCAAGCATTAATGCAGTTAGGCTTGAGGGAAAGCGGTAGGGAAGTGTGAAGTGAGCGATTATACTGGAGTCACACTCAGCCTGGCTCCAGCCACAGGGTGAGTGGACACATGTAAATGCTCTTGCCTTGTAGGAAGGGATCAAAGGAAAGCACAGGCATGAGAACATCGGACAGGCAGAGGGGAAATTCCTGAGACAGACTGACAATTTTCCAGGCTATAAACCATCTTGTAAGCATACCCATGGCATTCAAGTCCTCCAGGAATGGGGACGAGGGTCCCTCAAGCAGCTGGACAAATGATTTTAAAGCAACTATGTGGTCAATGCTATCCAAGGGCTGGAGAGGTTTTATACGGGCCCTTGGGCACCAAAACGGTAAACACTCCCTGACCTACTTCTCTCTTGAGCCTTCCTGGGAAAGGTCCAAGAGAGCACTGAGGCTTGATTAGACAAACAAGGCAATCAGTTTTTTGTGTGTTCATCTTTTCTTGATCTTTTTTGTCCGTGTATCTGTGTTTGATCTTTTCATAATCATGATTCTAGTGCCCAAACACCACAGTGATACCCAGCCACCTTCAGTGCCCAGCCCAAATGGATAAAGATGATGTGGTAGTTTTTATAAGAGAAAACTTTTCCTCAACTTTGCTAAGAGTGGAGTCTCCCAGGCATTCATAGAGCTTCTCTGCATTGACCCTGCAGAATGATGTGCCCTCGGTGTTCCTCTGAGCTCGACTGTACAGTACAGGTAGAAAAACACATTCCTACCAGCCTGCTCTCTTACCAGCCATCCACACCAGACTACTGCTCAAAGAAGAACTTAACTCAAGAAGAAATTAACTCTGTGAATGTTGTCTTCTGACTGCTTTCTAGATGTGAGGCAAACAATCTGCACAGAGCCAGGTCATGAGTGTAATCCAGCCTGCAAACTCCAGTGCACTTGCAATTCGACTCCATCTTTACGACTAATTGAGAAAGCACCAGGCTCTCCTACAAATGTGAACTGAGCATTGGTTCTCCGAACCAATGCTTAAGTGAAGGCTCCAGCTCTATGCTCAGAAGTGGGTGAACATGAGAACAAAGGCACCAGATGGCTACCAATGTGCAAAAAAGAAAGGAAAGGAGACCAGCTGCCCCCAAAGGCAAACTCCATCATTTATTGGTGGCCAAGACAATCTCTGACTCATCCTGTGCTCCAGTAGCTGAGGAGGTGGAGACGAGTGCAGGACACAGCCCCTTCTAGGCAAAGAATGTACAAACCTGAGTACAGGCTCTCCATTGAAAACTGCTTCATTTTTGCCTATGGAGAACCAAAGCAGCCTGAGAGAGTGACAGGTGGCAAAACGTGAACTGTTTGTGTGAGGAAACCTCATCACAAGAAAGGCCCTTTTATCTGCTTGCCTCTTGGATGCCCCTTGTCCTTCAGGGGTCATTGAACAGGTTGCCCAGAGAGGTAGTGGAGTCTCCTTCCCTGGAGATATTCAAAACCCGTCTGGATGTGATCCTGGGCAATATGCTCTAGGTGACCCTGCTTGAGCAGGGAGGTTGGACTAGATGATCTCCAGAGGTCCCTTCCAACCTCAGCCATTCTGTGATTCTGTGATTGCAAAGTAAGTTGGTGAGGAGGATGGAAGATTTTCTCAGTACCCTTCCTGGGAATCTCATTCTGATCTCTTGGTAGCATGAAACAAGAAATCTCCCCCCAGAATGGCATTTCACAGCTGAGATGAAACAAAAGCCCCTCTTGTCCCTCTTGTCCCTCTTGTAACTGGTCCCATGTGCTGAGATTGCTCAAGGTGTGTGTGACTTCTGTCTCTGTTTTCTCTTCTAGTCCCTGCTTAGTTCACATGAGAGGTGAGATTGTCTCACCAGGCTGGTGAATATGTGCAGGGTAGGAGTTCTTGAGTTTACTCAGCCCTTTGCAGTAACTTGAAGTTAGCAGTTTTCAGGGACTCTCAGGTAAACTTAGCACCTCAGATTTTGAACTGCCAATTGCTGACCTGTTCCAATTGGTTATCCTGCCAAGCAGCCTGACCTGCCAAACTGGAGATGTTACAGAAAAGGATGAACACTTTCAATGTAACTGCAGAAATTACATTCAAAAATTGGTGTCTCTGCTTCCTTTTATGATCACCTGCACTCACAGCTTGGCTTTCCTAAGACTTTTTTTCCAGGAAGATCATTCGTGCATATTGCTCTTTTGCAGTGACTTTAAGGACTTTGTAGTTGTCAGACACCTGGACGCTTTGCCGCTGCTCATAAGAAGCACCACATTCAGTGCCGTCTTTCATCATCTTCCGTTGGCCTATTTCTCCATGCCCCTGCAGTCTGTGAGGACAGGAACTATTTTACTGTGCAGTGTTTAGCACAGTGAGACCTTGGACCATCCATTGGTGCTTCTGGATGCACAGTTACACTAATACTATGGGCATTGATGGTTCCACTACATACACCGGAGTAATTCCATCTATGCTATTGTAATATGACTGCTCAAGCCCCAGCTGTCAAACTGGGCAAATAACTGCACACAAGGAGCAAGAAAAAGATTTGAAAGGGGTCTCACTGCCACTTTCGAATATGATTGCGGGTTCCTCGGTTTTTAACACCTAACCATGGTCACTGGCAAAGCAAGAGCAGGGGCAGAGGGAGAGTAGCAGAACTTATCTACCCCAGGTTTTAAAAATCATTGTTCAACTGGGCTTTACCTGCAGCACAAGCAAAGGGAGATGGGGAAGAGCAACTGGAAAGGGTCTGAGGTTGGATCAGACACAGAAGGAGAGTATGAAGAAGGAAGACAATGCTAAGAGAAAGTGCATGCAGAAAATGGAAGCAACTCCCATTCCCATTCAAGGTTTGGAGGATCTAACTTAGGTCTGTAGCTAACACCTTCCTCAGGGCATTTCTAGCTAGGCCAGTGATATAGTTAGTCACATCCGTTCTTCTGTGTCTCCCTACCTGGGGGAAGAGTCAGGAAAATGACTTTTTTGTTCAGCTCCATGGTCTCCCTATTCACTGAACTTATGCCACTCACACTGCTCTGTTCTGCTGTATTTCCTTCTAGAAATATAATACCTGACTCTGGAGCACGACCACGTGCCTGGGCTCTGTTTTCTGATGACAGATCTGTATTTTCTTGGCAGGATCTGAGTGAATTAAATTCAACAACAGTGAAGAGCCCCACCAACACTGTGACAGTGCAAAACCTCAAAGCTGGCACCATCTACGTCTTCCAAGTGCGGGCACGTACTGTAGCTGGGTACGGCCGGTATAGTGGCAAGATGTATTTCCAGACCATGACTGAAGGTGAGTCTTCAGCTGCTTCTGCGTAATTGTGATGTAGGACCCCAGGGTGTAGAGAGACTGGAGCAAGATGGAGATCTTGCAGTGCTGCAGCAGTGCTGATCCCCTTGCTGGTAGTCTCATCATTGACAAGTCAGATACATTTATTTGATACAGGAGAGAGGCATGGGCACTCGGTGGTCCATGCAGGGAATCACACAAGCTAGACCAATTTCTACCCAGCCTTTATTGGCATGGGGACCTGTCCACTCCATTGGATTTCAAGGAAACAAAATTCCATGCTTCTTGTCTGTATAGCTGTTAGTGGCAAAGCAGACCTAGCGCCTCTATTTACTAAATTTTTACTGCTAAATAAAACAGGCCAAGTCAGTTCTCTGGCCCTGAGGTCAAGTACCAAGGCACAGTTGCATGCACAAGACTAAGCTTTCCCACCCAAAAAGGACAACCCCATCCAACCTTCCTGCTGGGGAACGTTCCCTGTCACAGCCAACCCTGAGCCATGCCCAAGACAGCACCAGCTGGCACAGTGCTGGAAGCAGTGTACCAGGAAGCATGTTAGCAATGGTCCTGAAAATGCAGGCCAGTGCTTGGGCCCATGTTCTGGTCTCGATATGTTTTTTAGTGTAGACCCAGCCTCTGCCGCAATAACCAGTTCTCTCCTCGTTGTGTATCAGCTGAATACCAGACCAGTGTCCAGGAGAAGCTGCCACTCATCATTGGCTCCTCCGCGGCAGGACTGGTGTTCCTCATTGCTGTGGTCGTCATTGTTATTGTGTGCAACAGGTAGGTCAACCTGAGAGCACGACCCATGCTTGTGTGAGTCTCTGGACTGGTAACCAACAGGCTATGTGAGAGGACAACAAGGGGAGAGGGAGGGGAGGGAGAAGTGCAAGAGGGGAGGATGGAGAGAGGAAAGTTAAGGGGGGAAAGGCATGCCCCTGCAGTCCATTTCTCAGACCTGGTCTGACCCGTGCCCAGCACTCAGGACTCCCTTTCTTTCCAGAAGACGGGGCTTTGAGCGTGCTGACTCTGAGTACACCGACAAGCTGCAGCACTATACCAGTGGCCACAGTACGTCTTGCTCATTCATTCCTTGTGTCGTGCGGGAAGAGCTCAGGCCCACCTAGCCAGGCTCTCGTGTGCATATTTAGAAAGGAAGAGCTCTGCTGTTGGCTCCCTGAAAAAGTTTCTGCCTTTGAGACTAAAAAGGTGGAGCTCTTCCAGGGAGCCACTGGAGGCATCTAAACTGTGTTATATGCCTTTGACTTGTGTCCAGCTGCCCCATCATGTCAGCCTGCATCTGCTGAATCCTACCTCTGCTTCACCACATCACTCCTAGACTCCTGCTGTAGACCACAGTGCACACTCCTGCACATTGCATCCCATGTAATCACAATTCAGTCTGGCGAGCATGGTCTAGGTCACCCACTCATGTCACCTCCATCTCCCACCTCCACTGTCCCGTATGATCTAGATCCCTGCCCTGCCTGGTGGAGTCTGTACTCTCCAGACATGCATTCTGTCAGGTGCCAACCCTGCTGTGGTCACTTGCGCATGTTCTGCAAACATCAAACCCATGCCCCTCTGTGTGCTTCTGAAACCTTACCCTCTCCTGCTATGCAACCCCTATAACCGCACCTTTTCTTGCTACTCAGGTTCCTGAGCTTTGCTCAGCTTGTGGGCAGCAGCGAGACCGCCTACCCTGAGTCACCCACACCCTGTGGAGTGCTGTCCTTCCTATGAGAACGCACATACGCCATGGTGCGTTTGTAGAGCCCATCCCAGTGCTCCCAGAATCCCTTCCCTCTCTTGCAGCATACCTCTTCCAACATATCTGTGTAGTGCAAGCACTCATTCACATCTAAAATTCCTATTTTCAACCTCACTGTGCACTTGATGGAGGAGCACTCTCTAAAGCAGTCTTTACTTTCTGACGCTTTTCAAGATTGAATTCTTACTCCGTCAAGTACCAGCTAGACCCTGCCTCACCCCAATGCCTCCTCATTCTCCTCTTTAACCCCTGGCTGCATGTCCTCTAGAATTCCTTTCTCCTTCCTCACTAGAGACCTATCACTGTAATTCTGCTATGTTTGAATCTCGGTTGTTACTTACCTCATGTTATACTTGCAGCTTCAGGATTTCTGGACTTTTTACACCTGTTCCTGTACAGACATGGTCCTTATCCAAAAAATGGTTGTACCTGGAGAACACCAGCAGTTTCTGCAGTTACACCCAAAAACATTTCCCAAGAGATGGAGAGCTGAATTGCACCTCTGAGTCAGAATAGTAATGTGCTCGCTGGTGTTGCTATAACTTAACAGTAAAAATGACAGTCTTAAAGAAGAATTATGTAAATGCAACTCTCAGTTGTTTGCCAGTCCTTACTGCATGTGTAAACATACATTCACACTTTCTCCCAGGGTCCGGTGCATAACATGACAGCTTCAGGCTGGGATGGCATTAATAGCTGTGCCTTCACAACTGTTGAAATAGGCTAGATGCCACAGGATACAGATGAAGTGATAAGAGGCTTTGGGGGGTGGCTTTTTAGCCACATTGTTACTCAAGAGACTGATCCAAGGCTCAATTTCCCACCAGTGATTCCTGTGGAGAGGCTACAGCACTTGGTTAGCAAGTTGCTAAGGGATCGAGAGCCTGTAAGCCCTTAGTGTTGCAGGAACCTCTCAGAACCGGTCTGACCAGCATGTCATGATCTATGAGTGGCCTTGGAGCGCTGCTTCTGGTTTTGCATTGGGCTCACTACTCAGTGAGTTGTGAGGTCCGTTGCCCAAATACCCGCCAAACTGGGGGCAGGCCAGAACCCAGTAGAATGAGTACAGGGAGGTGAGAACTGCAGGGTCACAAGTGAGAGCTGTGACACAGTGCTAGGCAGCATGCAATGTGGTGTCAGCGGTCCAGCCTCACCAAGTCCCACGGCCATTGCCTTTCACATCGGCATATTTCTGTGTTTTCTTGTCTGTCTGGCAGGAAGAGTTTGGCTTTTGCAAGAGCCCTGGTATCCCCTACAGTTTGTTTTGGCTGTCTAGGCTATCAAGGTGGGATTTTTCAGCTTCAGGCAGGGCTACCTGTCAGAGCAAGGGGCAGACTGGACTGTCCATTCTGCTTGCTCTGCCCCTGGAAGGGTCACAGCTACATGGCTGTAACAGTAGGACTGAGAACCTGGAGCTGTCTCCCCTGTAGGTCTCCATGTGGGCAAAGGGGCAGCAAGCGCCTCAGTTTCTGTCCCAAGGCAGATCCTCATCATCTCCAGACTTGAGTGCTGGGCGCAGGTCCCCTCTTGCACTTTCCCATGCCTGTGACGTGATGGAGTACTAAGGAGGAAGTAGTATGCGAAGAAGGCTGGCGATTTGGCAGAGCAACTCCCTGCTATGTAGTAACCCACTGTAAAACTAACCTTAGACAGGCACAACACAGAGGTGCCCAATGTCAGCATGGCTCAGGCACGCCAGGTAAAGCCTTTTCTGGGGCAGCTTAATGTACAGGAGTCACCATGGTGTATCCAGATGCTCCCAGAATACCTAACACCTCTTTTTGGAAGAAGTGTTGGCTGCTCAAATGTGGGATCCCATCACAGTGTAAGAGAAGCAATATTTCAGGTATCTTGAGTTTGAGGCTTGGCAGAGCCAACCTGACCTCTGCAACAGTCCTCTTGCAATGCGACAGTGCCATATATAGTCGCATGATGGGCACACTGTGATATTGGTCTGCCTAAGCACCATCTCTCAAGAGCAAATGATTCTTTTGCTGTTCCTCTAGCTCTGCTAAAGCCAAATCCTGCTGCAAAGGGTTTGTGCTTCTTTGTGATCACAGTTAGCAGTCCTAGCTCAAGATCGAGTCCCCTGCTGCCCCAACCATGGCTTTTGGTCCCAATGTTCATCAAAAGACAGCTTTAGTAAGCCTGTGCAAACGTGGCTCTGCATATGCGCCTTCTCAAACTGCTTTGCTGTCTGTTTCGTGCCCTTAATTATGTGATTTGCTGAGGTCAAAAAAAGCATCCATCATTGACAGCATTTCTGTCTCTCATACCCATGCATCAGTGTGCATGCACCCACCCACCCACCCACTCACACACACACACACACACACACAGGCACATGCATCCAGATGCACACACACACACACAAATGTGCCTACACATGCCCATGCACACAGTCGTGTGCACACACCCCCTACACACATGCTTGTGCACACACAACCCCATGCACACATGCACATAGGTTACTCTTTTTCTTGATGCAACTGTCAGCTGTTCCATTTGCATCTGTCTGTCTGATTCTCTCCCTCACCTTTATGCAGTGACTCCAGGGATGAAGATTTATATTGACCCCTTCACCTACGAAGATCCAAATGAGGCTGTCAGGGAATTTGCAAAAGAAATCGATATCTCTTGTGTCAAAATCGAGCAGGTGATTGGGGCAGGTAGGTGAACTGTGAATGTGTTTCTGGCCCTCAGCAGTACGCTCTCCTTCCTGATTCCAGGCCTTGGTGAGGATGTGCATGTACTAGGAAGACTAGAGAATGAATTTACCGATAAAAGAGTTTCAGTAAGGTCTTATACTTGTCCCCAGCCTGCCTCCAGTAGCAGGAACAAGGTGGTTTTTGAAGCACGTCTAGTGCTGGAGACAAGGAGTTCTCCCATGTGCCAAGACGGAGTGGTGTGCAGTGCTCCTCACCAAGAGGATGCATTCACCTAAAGGGAGGCTTTTGGTGTAGAACAGAAGGGGAAGCACAAAACAGGTAGCACATGAACGGCTCAGGAGTGGACATGACTGGAACCTTGTAGAAGGGTCCCTCAGTGAGGAAGGCAGAGATCTGGGAGGTCAACATGCCATACCTGTTTCTGTCTCTGTTAACAGGGGAGTTTGGTGAGGTGTGCAGTGGGCATCTTAAGCTTCCTGGCAAGAGAGAGATCTTTGTGGCCATCAAGACCCTGAAGTCTGGTTACACGGAGAAGCAGAGACGAGACTTTCTAAGTGAAGCAAGCATTATGGGGCAATTCGACCACCCCAACGTCATCCACCTGGAGGGAGTGGTGACCAAGAGTTCTCCAGTCATGATTATCACTGAATTCATGGAGAATGGCTCATTGGACTCCTTCCTACGGGTATGAGATGCTAAGAGCAGACTGCCCCAGAGATATGCTGGGCCAGAGGAGGATTTGGAAGGGGAGGGTCCCTGTGGAGTGACTCTGTGCCAGTATAACACTGTTCTCAGTGCATATGAGGGCTGTGTCTCAGGCATATAGGTGGCACCTAGGTTGTCATCTGTCATGTCATCTGTCATATTAGTTAATTGGCAATCCGTTTCAGAGAGCTTTCACAGAAATGCACATAAAAAGGGCACATGGAGTATATTGGAGCCTAGTAGATCCTCCCAACTCCATCACCATCTATGTGATGCGCTTCCCGGGCAGTCTGATCTTTCAATGCATCTTAAGCAGTAGCACCCTGAGTAAATGGCTGAACAGCCCATTTAGGAGTGAGGGGTGTGCATCCCACACCAATGCATATCCAAGGGCCCGGGTACTTGTCAGCAGGCCACAAAGCAGAGTTACTCTTGATTATTAATAAACGTGTATATTGTTGCCACTACAGCTTGTGCTTGTGTGAATGCAGGCAGATCAGGTGGTGGGGTACCATATAACATAATCCAGCACAGTGGCAGATGTGCACATGCACACATTCAGCTGTACTCTTAGGCTGTGCGTGCATATGTACCTGCTCACAGATACATTTACAAACTCTGCTTCTGTGAACCTGAAGGGACGTTCTGCTATTAACTTTATCACAGCAGAACTTCACCTCCAGCTACTCTGTCTGAATATTTATGGGTCTCAGTCTGATATGAATAGTTCATTGTGTTGAAGGGAGATAACCTGCTTAATAGCAATAGATTCCCTCCTGAATCCTCTCATGCAAGGTGTGGCAGAGCTGTCGCCTTTGGGTGACAGCACCCATTGGTAGTGATGTCCATAAGGGATGCGAGGGTAACTTCCAGCCCCTGTGAGCTCTCTACTCTCCACCATCGTGCTTTGAGAGGGAACTTACAGTTCTTGTGGCATGACTATGTCTCGACATGCTATATAGACAGAGGCTACGTGCTGTTTCTCTGACCTCATGCCATGGCAGGCTGTGGATATGCTCCTCTCACGTAGACTCCTCCTCTCTTCCCCTAAGCAAAATGACGGGCAATTCACTGTGATCCAGCTGGTGGGCATGTTGCGGGGCATCGCGGCAGGCATGAAGTACCTGGCCGATATGAACTATGTGCACCGGGACCTGGCCGCCCGCAACATCCTGGTGAACAGCAACCTGGTCTGCAAAGTGTCTGACTTCGGCCTCTCCCGTTTTCTGGAGGATGACACCTCTGATCCCACCTACACCAGTGCACTGGTAAAACTGCTCTTCCAAAGGGGGAGGAATGGGTGTTGAAGCAAAGAGTTGGGGGGGAATGGAGAGGGGCAGGTTCCTGATTGACAGGTCAGGAACACTTTTGTCAGGATGCCAAGAATGGAGAGAAGGTGTCAGATGGGGAAAGACTGATGAAATGAACCAAGAAAGTTTTTCTTTTGCAAGGTCCTGCCCAGCTGTCATTTCAATAGCTGTTGATGGGGAATGGCCCTATAGTCATTCCTATGAATAAGTAAGTGAGCCATTCTCCAAGCCATGTTTGCACACATGTACATATCCCTGATACAGCCCTTAGCTGGGGATGATGTGTTGTATCCATCCAGTGTGGCCCAATTTGGGATCCTCCAAGATGCCAGCCTGACAGATTTGTCACCAGGGCAGCAAGGGTTGGTTTTGTCCTGTCACTATCCAACTGTGCTGTCCGGCTGTCCAGGAAGCAGTGATCCTTTTTCATGTCTTATCACGGACTCGGCCCTGGAAACGATAGACTGAAATGTGAATCCATGCTTGGCAAAGCCCTACAGTACGAGATACTTTCTGAATTAAACAGGGAAAGAAAGTTTCTCAGAAATGGCCTGTAACACCCACCCAGGGATGCTGCAATATCAGTGATGTAAGCACCACTGAGGACTCATTGCCTGTCTCAACTGCATGACGTGCACCAGGGCTAAAGGCTAACGTGAAGACTGTTATTGTTCAGTAAGACTGCAGCCAGTAGTTTTCATAGACGTCGTTGTTTATAAGGACGGACAGCATCACTGCTATCATCCAGTACAATGCCTATGATAGGATTTTTGGAAATGAGCTGTGATAAAGCTGGGGCGTGACCTGTAAGAAACTCTTTCCCGAATTTTTTGAAGCTGCCAGTGATAGGTACCGTAGCTTTTAATAACTTGTAACGGTCGTTGATTACCCAACACCTGAAAACGTGGACTTCTGTTCTCTTCTGAACTTGTGGAGCTTCACACATCAACCATTGGCTTTTATAATAATACAGTCATCCTACAGGTTTTAGCAACATTAGCAAAATTTACTCCTGTAAGTATTTGCACACCATGATCCTTACGCCTATTAACTTTCTCTTTGTTAAGCTAAACACACAGGAGCTTCTGGTGATTGCTACTGTTTTTTATTCCTATTATTTTACTTGTAGGTAGGTACAATAGGAGGTGGGAGGCATCGCTCATCTTACTGAAATGAGCTCCCATGAGGCATCTCCAAATTCCTACATTCTATAATTCACATTTTAAGACTTATTTTTTAGCCAATTTTTAAATCCACTGCTTGTCAGGCTCTCTGTAAAGAACATGCCTGTCTGTGAAGACAGAAATGAAGTGAACATCGCCTTTTGTATGGAATGCTTGGTCTTTACCACTGCTGGAAAACAAGTTATTTTGTCTGAGGTTTGTGGCTGTGAGAAGTTTAAGGAATATTATGTTTTTTTCATTATTTTAGCATGTATAATGTCTGAGTCCTATTAAGTCCTAGAAGACCCCTAATAAGATATGATAGCTATCCAGTGACAAAATATAATCTTGATCTTCTCACAGCCACAAACCTCAGATAAAATTGCTTATTTTCCAGCACAGGGGAGGATTTTCCCCTGAGAATGTTCCTTGAGTTGGGAATGGACGAAGTCCAAAGACGCTCGTGGGAAATGAGGAGGCTGCAAGGGCTTAAACAGAACACTGCAAAGCCTGTGGCCACATGCTGTGTGTGTCAGTGTTGTGCACTGATGTGCATAACTCCTCTAGGAGGAGAGAATAGTCTTTCTGATTTCTGCAGGGCTGCTGTTGCCCAGCAGGATCACTGACAGCCCAGTGTTTACCCAGTCCATCCCATCTCTCAAATAGTAACCAAGCATGCCATACTGAAGATATTCGCTCCATCTCTGTCTCCAGAAACAGGCGGGATCTGAGACTGTGGGATTATGTATATATCAGCAAAAAGACCAGCACATGAGGACTTCAGCTCAGGAGGATGGTGTATCGTTGACTTTTAAGAGCCCGCAGATTTAGAACAATTGAAGAGGATGGAGTTTTAATTCCTTTTGTTCTGGTCTTGAAATAGCTAGGTAGCAACAAAAGGATGGAGGGAGATTTAAAGGGAATCAATTTGGATTTTTCTAAATTCTTAGCCATTCATTTTTCCACAAAAGGCTCTACAAATGCAATGGGCATCTTGGCATTCCGAAGATTGCTATAGCAGTAGGAAGTCAGTACTGACAAATGAAACTGTTCATAGGCCCCTTCTGATTTTTCTCTGCAAAACTGAAGGGGAAAGTGAATTGTGCCCAGTAGCCTAGCAGTTCCAAACAGCAGCCCTTGGCTGGTTTTTGCAAAGAAAGACAGTTCTGTGTGGTCTTGTAGGGTGCACGTTACACTGAGACAGTTCTGCTGAGGGAATTGTGGGATACCTGCAATTACACTCTAAATAAATTTATGGCCCCATGACCTATAAGAGCAGGTGGAGGGAGCTGGGCTTGTGTAATATGATGAAGAGTAGGCTGAGGGGCCTGTATTAGTGACCTGCAGTAATTGCAGGACAGTTATGAAGAAGACAGAACCAAACTCTTCACAGTGGTGCCAGATGATATAATAAAGGAGAGTGGCCAAAACTAGCTTGGGAGGTTCATGCTGAATATTAGGAAAAGCTTCCTCCCCAAGAAGGTAGTGCCCAAGTACAGCCCTGGGACAGAGCACCAGACAAATGGGAGATTCTCCATCCTGGAAAGCTTCCAAGATTTGGCTAGACAAAGCCATGGCTGTCCTGATCTGGTGTTAGGCATAGCCCTGCTGTGAGCAGGAGCTTGGACCAGAGACTTCAGAGGCCCCATCCAATCGTGCTTCTAAGATTTTACCAGTATAATGGGTGCAGATATTCTGGACAACATTCTTTTTCAGTTTTTCTCACTCTTTCTTTCACCATCCTCTCTGTTTTGTTTTGTTTTGCTTTTTTTCCTGCAGGGTGGGAAGATCCCAATACGGTGGACAGCACCTGAGGCAATTCAATATCGAAAATTCACATCAGCCAGTGATGTGTGGAGCTACGGGATAGTCATGTGGGAGGTGATGTCATATGGCGAGCGGCCTTACTGGGATATGACCAATCAAGATGTAAGTCACTGAGAAACAAGGAGCAGAAACACTGAAATGGGGAGCAGACTGCGAGGCCAAAGCTCCCTGCCTGGTTACAGCTAGTCCCAGCCTGTGGCATGGCTGGAGCCTTCTCTTATTGTGGGAGATGAGCCCAAGATCAACCCTTTCGGATGCAATAATGGGGATAACTATTGCCTTTGTTCTGGTCCAATTGTGCTGCTGTGGCAGAGGTTAGGGACTGTACAAGACCCACAGTGCTAGGACAGGGTTGATGTGAGCAACTTCAACTGCAGTTGACTCCTCCAGGGAGGAAAGTCTCCTCCAGGGAGGAAAGGGAGCAGCTAGAAAAAGAAATGTTCCCACTGATCTGAGAGCAGTGGGGATCCAAAAAGTCTAATGGAAACGGTCACAGCAGCTTCTGTGAAAAATTTGAAGATCAGCAAGCCAACATCACCAGGTTTCTGTTCACCAGGCAGGGACAGCAAAAGTACCACGGGCTCTTCAGCACCATGTCTGCAACTCTTCTCATGCCCTGCTCCAAGCCTCCTATGCAAAACATTCATAACTCACCTACGCTGTCCAAGAGCTATGCCTGGCTACTGCAGCAGCAGGCAGGTGTCCATTCCTAGAGACCACAAGCTTTTGGTGAAACAGCGATCTGTCACGAGAGCTCCTTGCTCCCTGGGGCTCAGGGACTTTCCGTGAACCCTTCCCTCCATGCAGGGGGAACCTGTGGCTGCAGTCCACACCTTCACCATAGAAATGTCGCTCTCTCTTCATTTCTCTTGGCTTCATAGCCTGCGTGGTCAAACACCAGCTATCCAGCTGTGCAGCATGTTAAGGCCTGCGCGTGTGTGTCCAGAAGCACCCGTTGGTGTGGGGGCTTCCAAAACTCCTGTAATATTGTCTCTCTGATGCGTTGCCCTTCTTCACAAGATCTAGACCTCATACACCATCAGCATATAAAACCAGTGTCCTGGGTAGACCCTCCAAGGTACAGAAGGCTTGAACTCCCCCTCTGCTGCAAGTGTTGGTCTTGCAAATCTGCATGTTAAAGCTTCAGGCTTCAGGCAGAGCTGCTTCTGGACAGTGTGCTGGGAGCCTTTCACCTGCAACCTCCATCTCCATCAGCTTATGGGCTCTTGAAAAAGTTCAGCCAAATCAGACCATTTTCAAATCAGTATATTTCCAACCGTGCTGTTTGAGGTTTCTCCAGAACATGGCAATTTCCTCCCCAGCGCCCAGTGGAGAATTTATTCAAGTGAGTCCCTAAGGCCTGAAACAAATAGATGCTACCTTAGCACCGCTAGCTGCTTATGGACACTTGCCCCAGTCCTTGCCCAGGCCCTGGCATACAACAAAAGTATTTTCATCAATTCCTGGAGCCACAGGGAAGTGAGTTAGGTGTGTGCCCTTCTCGCAAGGGCCAATTCCCTTCCCATTCATATTAGGGCTTCATTAGCACCTGCAGTCTCATGTATCTCCTTTAGCCAGGTGTCACTGCCCTTCTCCCTACCTCAGCATCCTTCTGTAAGTTTAGCCCTCTGCTGTCCTCATTCCTTTTCCCTTCACCCTCCCTCCTCTTCTGGACCTCTTCCCTTGCTGGTTTCTTCTGCTGCAGCCCTCCATGGTCTGGCAGCACCGATTCAGCCAGCAGGGATGGCGGAGCCTGTGCCCTTCTCATCAGCACAGCCTGCTGCGTGGCATCTGTTCCCCCGCCTCCACCAGCCTCTTCTCCCCCTTCTCCTGCCGCAGGACATTGCACCCCAGAAGCTGTCACCACTTAATTGCTACTGGTCCTTCCTGCGAATTAGCACGTGCCGGATATTCACTGCAGATTAGCCTCCTGACCCTAGGGTGTGAACGCCTGGGGAAGCTGGGGAGCGGAGAGGAGGCAGAGAGCGTAGCCTGTGCCCCCTCGCGGGATGTGCCTGCTGGCAGCAAGGCGGGTGGTTTATTGGGGAATTATTCGGTCAATGCCAGAGCCAAGAGTTTGATGCTTGTGTGATGACTCTTCCCAGCCCCACTCCCCCTGTGTGTCCTCTCCCCTCCTTTCTGTCTCGGATAGATCCGCCATCCAGAGAGCGAGCTGGGAGAGGGGACAGTTTGCATCTCTCAGGAGAGTCCCTGAACAGGAGCCAAGAGCTGCGCAAAGCACACTAGTGATTCCTCAGGTTAGGCCTTTACAGGCCCAGTGGGGGCACCTTCTTGTTTGGCCAGGGCTGCCTCTCGGAGGAAGGGATGGGTGGGAGGGCTCCTTCCAGCTGGCATGTTTTGGCAGCAGCGGTGCAAGCCCCCAGCACCTTGCCCAAGCACATCAATACCTGGAGCACCCTCCTACTCCCACCTCCCTGGTGTCACAATCAGTCTTAAATCCTACCAGATACCTCACCTCACACCCTGGATTGCTTGTCCTGGATCTGCCACCCACCCTCACTTGGAGTGGCAGCTTTCTACTCCCACAGCACCTCCAGTGTCACCTCTCTGCCACCCCTTCCCTGCTGCTCTCCCAGTCCCAGCTGCTGTACCTCTCATTTTCTCTATGCAACCTTTCTGCTCAGCAGTGTACTCACCAAGAAGCTGCCCAGACACGGCTAATCCTTCCCCAGGATGGTGGTACAGCCCTGGGATAGCTCATCAGACAAGTGAGGGGATCTTCATCCTTGAGCGTATGCTGGACAAAGCCATGGCAATCCTAATCAAATGTAGAGGATAATCCTGCGAGTGGGAAGTTGAACAAGAGAAATCAAGGTCCCTTCCACCAGCCCCAGTGGGGTTTTGTCAGTCTCCTTTCCCCCTTTTTTAACATTTCCAGGAGGAGCTTCTCTTTTCAAAGTATGGTCCCTGAGTTCAGTCACTGCAACACTTATGTTTTTTGTTGCTACGCACAAGCCTGTTTCTAGTGTCCAAGGCTCCTTCTGCTCTCCTCTCAGAAGAGCACATGCCCTTGGGAAAAATCCTGTGACTCCATCCTCCTTGATTACCCAGGAAAGGGTGGTGGACTGCAGGTGCAGAGCTGGTCATCAGGGAGATGAGATTCTTCTTGAAGAAGATCCACTAGTTCTGTGTATGTGCTATTTCCCTTGTACATGGCAAGGCTGAATATTTTCACGGCTCCTGTGGTGCGGCAAGGAAAGACCAAACAGGCAGCAGTCAAAACCTTCTTACACTGGCCTGCAAAGCTGCAGCTTGACTTAGGTGACGTGTGCTCCAACCCTTCTCTGCATGCTGTAGTAAAGTTCTCCTGCATGCAACTCTGCTGACCAAGGTCTCTGTCCTGCCTCCTGTGTGGATGAAGCAGTGCTCCGCTTTGCATGTACACAGGGCTGTGGAGAAATCCAGTGCTCACTGCTGACTCAGCACACCCAGCCCAGTCCCATGACATGATAGTGTTGCCTGGTAATGCTGGGATATTGGCAAGGGTGTGGGAGTAGAAAGGACTTTTGGGGGAAGGAAAACATAGGAACAACTCCCCTGCCTATAACTCACTTAAGAGCAGACTCTTGCCTCGATGGAGGTGTTCTCCTTCCAGTGAGTTGCTTTGGTGTGCTGTGTACCCTAGTGTAGACACAGTAGCAGTGCAGTCACGCAGCCAAGGCTGCGTGGACACTTTTGACTAGCCTTCTCATGCCTGGAGCTGCAGGTTCACGCATTCTTGGAAAGGTAACGCAGATGGCCTCTTTTGCCAGATTAGGACACTGATAGGCATGGCTTGTCACAAGTACTCGCTGTTGGCTGATCAAGGCTGGCTTCACTTCTGAGGACACCACGAAAGGCAGAGGGCTGAGATTTAGAGAGAGTGGACGGCAGGGCATTGCTACAACATTAGGTGGCTGAGATGGGCAATAGTACGTAGAGAAAGACCAGCTTTGTTGGGCTATGGTTGGCCACGCCAGTCACCCTCAGGAGCTGAGAAAAAAGAACATTGTGATTTAAATGGGTTCCTCTTTGGCCATCTCCTCCTTTCAAGGATAAAGGCACTGTTCCTATTGCACTGATCTCTTTTTCTTCTCTCATAGGTGATAAATGCGATTGAGCAGGACTATCGACTGCCACCCCCTATGGATTGTCCAAATGCCCTGCACCAGCTAATGCTTGACTGTTGGCAGAAGGACCGAAACCACAGACCCAAATTTGGGCAAATTGTCAACACCTTAGATAAAATGATCCGAAACCCCAATAGCCTGAAAGCCATGGCACCTCTCTCCTCTGGGTACGCATCTCTGTCTTCCTCTTGCCCTTTGGCTTCCACTTGTAGATTTGCTCTCCTGCATGGCCTATTGAACACCATCCTTGCATTTCTCTGGGCTAGCTATTGCAGAGGCTGCTGTAAAGCTGTAAAAGATGATAGTCAACTATGATCCTCTCCTTGGCCAGCATAGATCTGGGGGAACACAGAAGGCTCATTGAGCTGGACAGTGTCCTCTGCACAGTTAGAGGAGCATCATGGTTTCATGCACGTGACTGGATGGGTATGGTTGCTTTGGTAGCCCAGTCCATGCAGTGGAGGCAAAGAAGGCCATGTCAGGCAGTATGATCTTTCCTGAACTGGGGAGATGCAGCAACCTGTGGGAAGCACGGGCCCAACTCTGGTAATGCACTGGCTGCCCTCTGCATCCAAGATTTCAGAGCTGCACCCCATCATCTTCTCTTTGATTGTTCTGCCTCTCCTGGGTGAACTGATCCAGAAATAGACTTACCAGCATCCTTCTCCAGTGCTCTGCATAGTCCCTCCCTCAGCTATGCAGAGTGCTTTCTGGGTGGCACTGTCATAGTTCACTGCAGTGCAGGCAGTGAATCGTGCTCCTCCAGGTCCCCCCCAGCAGATGGAGGGTGCAGAAATATATGCACTTGTTGCTGCTTGTTCTACTCATTCTCCATTTTTGTGTTTCAGGATCAACCTCCCTCTACTTGACCGCACAATCCCAGATTATACCAGCTTCAACACTGTGGATGAATGGCTGGATGCCATCAAGATGAGCCAGTACAAGGAGAGCTTTGCCAGTGCTGGCTTCACCACCTTTGACATAGTATCTCAGATGACTGTAGAGTAAGTGCCTAGGCTTCTAGTCCCAAAGCAGTAGAAAAAGCCTCAGTAGTTTAACAACAATTGACTATCATTAAACTACTTTTATTTTTTATATTATTTGGTTTTACTTTTACAGAATGTTAGAATTGCTATCTTGTGGAACCACTTTTGATCTATCCAATATCTGCAGAACTTCTCTGCTCTGTTCACTCTGTCTCATTTCCAGACTGTGTATCTGTGCAGAATTCATTTCTGCACTCTCAGATTGCATGCCCTGACTTTGAAAATGAAAGTCCTCACTAGGCTCTCCAAACGGCCCCCTACGGAACAAGGCAGAACAATGGCGATTTCAGGCAGCATCAGGCAGTTTTCCAGCAACTGGAGAACACTTTTGGACTCGGCAGTCCTCTTGGAGGTGTGACACTGCTGATAGAAACAAGCATGTTGCAAGCAAATTTCTGCCTAAGAAGGGCCTCTGAGGGCCAAGGTGGTTTCAAGTCTGTTCTGAATTGTCCTGTATCCACTAAAAACTTTCTTCAGTGGCAAAATTTTAGCAAGTCCTTCAGAGAAAGCAGGCAGCTGAAATCCATTTGTGGTGGAGTTTGAAATCTCTTGAGGCTAGCTGGGGCTTTCGTGCCTGTGAAAGATTTTTGGCGGGTTGCAGTTAGCTTTAGAAACCCTGCCTGAGAAAGCACCAAGCATTAAAGCCATCTGCAAGTGCCACAATGTCTCTGTGCGCAGTAAAGCAGGAAGGTTTGTGCCTGGATTGGGTGCCTAATTTCACAGTTGAAAACTACCACTCAGTCAGAATCTATTAACACTACAGCCAAACCGATCTTTTCTGGCCTTTTTATTTTTATTTTCTGCCAAGAAATTCCCATGGCAGTTTTGAACGTTTCAGTGTAACCATGGTACCACCCCAGGGTGGTACCCTGGGGTATCTCACCTGGAGATGACTTTGCACACTGTAGGCCCTCTTCATGCTACAGGGAGAGGGCCCAAATAATCTGAGAGAAAGAGAAGGAAAACTGGTTCCGAACTAGAACATCACACCCACACCGCAACCCAACCATGCCCAATTTGGTGTGTGCTATTTGCAATACATCTAAAAGCACATTCTTCTACAGGCAGTCCGGATAATGAAGTCTGTTTTTTTCATGGACTTGCTCAGTGTGCCTTCAATGGTACTTCTCCCGATTCCTTATCATGTCTCTCACAATAGCTTCCAGGTCCTCTTTATTTGCCTTCACCACAACAAGAGTACCTTCAGCTCGTTCCCATGTCCCCATCAATTTTGACAAGCCTAGAGAGGCCAATCCAAGTCCTTTTTCCTTTGGAAATCATGCTAAAACCTTACCTGAGACCATCTTCTAATGCTTGCTGGGCTTTGCAGAAGGAGGCAATCATGTAAATGGAGTTGAATTGCCATGAGACACTATTTAAACAGGAGAGGCTGCTTCAATTCACCAGATCTGGCAGGTTTCAACACTGACCTACCAGGAAGGTTTCCTACCTTTTTTTCTGCAGACTGGGACAACTGGGACACCAAAGGATCTGTGTCTGGGGCAGAGAGCTTAGGAAGGACAGGGCCATACAGGGCCACAGTCTCATTCCATTTTACAGACGTTATTGAAAAGTGTGAGCTTTGTTCCTAATCAGAACAAAAAGCAAAAGTTAAAGTAGCAAACGCCTCCAAGGAAGAAATATCACTTCTCCTGGCTCAGCACATCTGGTCAGCAGCAGCGGAAGGGATGGAAAGCCTTTACAGCAAGACAAGGAGTCACTGTGAAGGACACCATCCCTAGTGCCAGAGTTGCATAATGCACTAGTAGGTTTCCAATTGCTTTGCTGAGCAAGAGTCTGAGTGGCAGCAAGGCTGTGGCTTGGATGTTCACTGGCAGAATGATCTCAGAGGGCAAGGGCTGAAGGCTGCTCTAGCTTGCAGTGGTCTCTAATCAGTTGCCACCAGTCAGAACGTGTAACTCTGGCACAGTCACCTGCACCGGTCACACTGCCGAGTCGCAGTCCTCCTTTCTCATACTCTTGGCCTGAGCTTCATTTTTCCCAGATGCCTAATATGCATCCAAAAAAGAACCAGTGCAAAAATTGTCACTAGCTTGCCATGATTTAGCAGAGAAGATAAGTAGCAAAAGGTTGTCACTTCAAGGTCTCATCAGAACAATGTAAGAGTAGCAAGAGCAGCCGTCATCTGCACAAAGGGAATGGCATTCACATTGATGAAAGTGTAGCACATCCTTTCCATGTCTCTCCAAGGGTAGAAAGAATGAGTTTCTAGTTCTTGTCTCACAAGAGTGCAAATGTGCAAAGGGAGAAACAAAATGATACAAGGACAGACAACCCAAGCCTTTCCGTTGAAGACAAATTCACTTGCAAGTAGTGGGCAGATCCTGGGGTGATTTATTTTATACTCTGTATTGAGGCTTCCAGTACCTTGAGGCTGCTGCATGTATGTAGTAAATGCAAAGATTAGGAGGATAAGCCAGTAACGGTTGAAGAGAAAGAATACAGGTTTCATCAGGTTTGCGTACATGCATTGCATTTGTGGAGTGCATTTGCAGTGCATTTGTATTATACACACAGGCTAGGGACTCCAGCTCCCTACACATCACTCCCTGGGGGAATGCTCCAGACGCAGGCTAGCTCTAGTGTTAGAAAGTCTCTTTTGATGTTCATTTGGTGTTTGTTTTTTCCTCTCAAAGGGACATTCTGCGAGTTGGGGTCACTTTAGCAGGACATCAGAAGAAAATTCTGAACAGTATCCAGGTGATGAGAGCACAGATGAACCAAATCCAGTCTGTGGAGGTTTGAAAGCTACACGACCTCATACTCCTCTTCCTCAAGGCCCTGCTCCCCTTTGCCCCTGTATGTCCAAGCTCCAGTGCTTGAGTGTTCTGCATGGACCAGAGACAGGCAGCTGCTCTGAGGATCATGGCAACAGGAAGAATTGTCCTATCATCAATAATGAGAAGTCGCTAAGAGCTTCTAGAATTTAAGCAATGGAAAAAGGGAACAAAAAAGACAACTATTTTGAAAAAAAAAACTATGAAATATTTTTAAATAATAATAAAGCAATTGCATTCTTGAAAAGGGCTCCAAGATCAATGGGAGTCTCCAAAGGAAGAGAAAAGAGCAGCTTCATCTATTTCCTCTTGCACAAGGCTGCTGCAGCTGGGCCCAGAGAGCTCTGGAGCAATGAGACTTTTTCAAGAAGAAGAACACAAGGAAAAGTCGTGAGAAGCACTTCTCTCTCATGTGGAATGGTAATTCTGGGAATGTCCCACAGCCAGCTGTCCTTCCTGAAAGTCCCTGTCAGCAGATCAAAGGGAAGAGAGAGAGCTGAAGCTCTTTGGTGCTGTGGAACCAAGTGCATCTCAGAAATTGATGGACTTCTTCAAAAGCTGAAGATTTTTTTTTTTTTTAACAAATAAACTGAGACTAGAAGAGGCTGTTTCTGACAAATAAGAAGGAATCTGTAACACTCCGGGGGGGGTGGGGTGGGGTGGGGATGGGAAAAACCAATCCTTTTTACATCTCTTATTTTCTCTTGTCATGGAACAGTTTTGTGAGTGACAGTTTCCTAAGGGTCCGTCCATCCACCCTGCAGTGGCATCATTGTCTCATACATATCATATGCACAAGACTTTTAGTGATGTCCTCACTAGATGCCAATGACCTTTCCCAGAAGACTTCCCAAGTACAGTATGTAGTAGTTTTTGATTACAAATGCTGATGTGTACCTTTATTTTTTGGTTGTTGTTGTTTGGAGATTCGTCCTTTTACCTTGTTTTGTTAACACCAATTTGTGAGTTTGGGGTTGGAATTTTTTGGTTGGTTGGGGTTTTTTTTAATGAAAAAGAAATGACATTTCCAAGCATCATATCATTCAAGAACTTAAATCCTTTCCTTGTGGAAGGAGATACTGCAGCTTATTGACAATACGCCAGGAGAAAAATTTTTTATATGCACATTTCCTCCTGTTTGCTTGTTTATTATTTTGCAATTTGTCATGGCCTGACAGATGTTTCTATCTGTTGGGCTTCCAGTTGTTTGTCAAGATGAAATGACCACCTGCTCAATTCAGGGCTGCTGATGCAGGGGTGAGCAGCATCATGGAGTGATTTTGGGGGGGGGAGGGACAGCAGGGGAGGGTAGATGGGTTGTGGGGAGGGAATGATGACTCCACGGCTGGCTGTCAGAGCCCCTTGGAAATGTATAACTGCTTGGAAAGGTGTCAGAGGAGGACTGGTGCACGTACGGCAGAAAGGCAGCCCCAGTCCTCTAAGAGGAGCTTGTGGCGTGTGGTTTCTCAGAGTCTGGACCGTGTTAATGGCCAGGTTGTGGATGGTTCCCTTCAGTGAGCAAACTCTGTGTGGATGTGCTCTGTGCCCTTTGGACATGCAGTCCCTTCTTTAGACGATGCACTGGAGGCTCTAAGGCAGCTTCAGTCTCAGCTGGTGACCTCTAGGAGAGTCTGGAAGAGCAAAGGCAGAAACTCTGATCAAGTAGCCCAGGTTGTTTTAGGCAAAATGCAGAGGTTGAAGCTGAAAGGTCAGTCAGTGGATTTATAAATAACTGAAATAAATACTTTAGCTACTAAATAGGTCTTTGGTATGTATAAATATGACCAACAAAGTACAGGGGGAATACAGATGAAAATAATTGGACTTGTTCTCCCAGTTCAGCACCACCTCATATGCTTTTAAACATGCCTACTGTCACCCACCTTCCTCTGGCCACGTGTGGAATATTGCCATGCATCTCCTGGCCCTGTCCAGCATATCTTGCATTCCCAAGCCCTTGTCTGGCATTGCCATGTCATTCATGGGGTCCTCCACTCATTTTCAGCAGCATGGGATGTTTGGATGCATGTTCGTTGGGAGCTGATATGCTGTATTTTACGGGAGCTCCGGCCAAGAGGAAATGTGGCTGCTCTGGATGAAAGTCCCAACCTGTCCGCTGCCCTGTGGCCAGACAAGGTCTCCTGAGATTATTTGTAAAATAGAAGGCTCTTTATAAAGTATTTAGCATTTTCCACTTTCAGATCAGATCTGATGATGAAGCACTT